GTGATGATGTGTAGAGGTATTTGTGTGTTAGTGATGAAATGTATTTGAGAAAATGATGAGAATACACATTTGGGCAGCGTAAGGTCGTGAGCCCAATGTGATTGTTGTAATAGTGAGTATATGAAAGCGAAAAGTGAGAACAAGTGAGTAATGATTATGACATGATCAGTAGCAGGAGTTCACTTAGGGATTTGGGAGTAAAGAAAATTCATATGGTAATCAGGTTGTGTAACAGCCCTCCTCGGGATCTCACCGTCACCCGAGGCACTGGACAGTCTGTAACATCCCAATTTTTATATAATAAAGAAATTGTGAAATTTAGGTTTTGAAAAAAATGATAATAATAGGAATTTATATTATTTGAGGTTATTTAGAAATAATATTATGGTTAGGTATTTAATTATGAATTTAAAAATTTAAATTTAAAACCACATAAGCAATATTTAGTTAAGATGTAATACATAAATAATTTTTTTTATGTGTGTGTTAAAAAAAAAGAGAAAGTAGAAGGAATAAAAAAAAAGGGTGGAAGGTTGTTGTTTCTAAGTCCCACATTGGTTAGATGAGGAAAGAGATGAGGTGCCTTCATGTATAATAAGGAGGGAGTGTGTGCATTAGGAAGCATGAGAGGCTAAGATGTAATTTAGAGGAAATTGCAACTTATGCCCCAAAGGTTTGAATAATTAAATTCAGACCTATAGTTTTTTTTAATATAATTTTGGGACTCACAATCCCATTTTTATATTATTTTTCTCTCTTCCTCTCACGTTGCTCGGCGTTTTCTCGCAAGGGGGGATTATTTTCTTTTTCTTCAGGTATGTTCTAACTTTCCTATTTAGATTAGCATTTAAAAATTTATTTAATTACAAAATTAATTTTATAGTTATTTTCTAAATAATATTAGCTTTCTAGTGATATGATTATTTTGTAGGATAGAGTAAATATTTTGATTAGGATTTTTCTATAGGATAGTTAATCTGATGATATGATGGATTAAAAATATAGGTTAAAACTCTTAGGGATATAATAAATATTATAGAATATTTTCTTGAGGTTGAAACTCATGTTTAAGAATTTTTGAGTTAAAATCTAGATTCATATGGTTGAATTTATGTGGAATCTGAGATGTAGGGATAAACCTATGATTATTAAATATTTATTTAAGTATGAATAGGTATTTTTAAGGTTATAGAAAGGTGATTTGAGGCTTCAGGATAATTCTAAAATTTTTAATTTATTTTTGGATGAATTTTTAGAATATAGAAGGATGAAATTGTGATACTAGAAGTGATTTGAGGATAAAAAAAATAGTTTATTAGGGTATGAGAATTTTAGAAAAGAATTTAGGAAGTTAAATGAGGTATAAATCTTAAATTAGTGTTAATATGGATTATAGATCTAAGATTTTCTAACTCTTTAAATTAGAGTTATTTATTTTAATGTAAAATTAATATATAGTATTGTGAAATAATTATTTAGATTATATTGACAAAGATAGTGGTGAAAAAGGAGTTGTGAATGGGAACTTGTTATTCAAGACATAAGGTAACCATTATTAATGTGTTGTGATAGGTGTGTTTGTGAATGGTTATGTGTTATTTTGTTGTTTGGAAAAATTATGAATTATTGAAAATAAATACTGTATATACTTGTTTGAAATTATTGCCAAGTGGGTTAAAAATTTATTTTTTATTTATCATGATGAGATATTATTGTTCGGATATATTTCTGTTTGGATATTTGAATGATGCATGACTTGTCAGGGTATTTTAATGTATGGTGTTAATGGGAATTTCTGTTCGGTTAATTATTACCACGTGGTAAGCCCTCATTGGACCCAATGAGTGGCGTGTCGCTTGGTCCAACTCACCTTTGGCCGGGTGATTTGGCGTCCGAGCATGGTGAAAGAGGGATATAAGGTGCAATCATGCAAATTAAATACTTGTTCGGTTTGTTTGAAAATATTGTTCGGTTAAATGTTTTGTGTGCCCACTTAGCAATTGCATGATTAGTTACATCCGCATGCATCATTACGTATTAATTTTTAGTTACTAGGACTTTTAAGTCTCATTCCCCGTGGTTAATATTTTTACAGGAGCGAATCCGGCCGAGAAAGCACCAGAGGTGTAATTATGGTGTATGAGACGCCATCTTTTACGTTGCCTCTTATTTTGGATTATACAATGTATCTTGTGCCAACTTAGGACATATCTTGTTTGTGGAGCATGTAAACTCTAATCTTTTTTATTAAATGCATTTATATGTCTAAGAGGATTATGTCTGTCCCTTTTGATTCATGACCTAATTTGAATAACATGCTATGAGGATCATGTCTGTCTCTCATGGTTCTAATTGCTTTTTGAGATATTTTAAGACCTGTGGTATATTGTCTTGGATGTATCATGGTAGAAATTTTTCTACCATGATAATGGTTTTAATAATTTGCGAAAAATCGGTCTGTAAGTTTTGAGAGTGTTACATGTCTCCCCCTAGGCCCCACAACAGGGCGACCCCACCCCTTTCGATGAGCATCAGGAGACAAAGGCTTTCTCGCAGTAGTGTGCGGATTATTTCCCTTGTAGAGAGCCTCCCCAGGTTCGATCCTCCAACGTCTCCTACATAACAAAGTTGAGAATTGATTCAATGGTACCAGGTTCAGCCTCAACTTTGTTATGTAGGAGAGGTTGGAGGATCGAACCTGGAGAGGCTCTCCGTAAGGGGAATAATCCGCACACTACTGCAGGGAAACCTTTGTCTCCTGATGCTCACCGAAAGGGGTGGGGTCGCCCTATTGTGGGGCCTGGGGGGAGAGTGTCCAGTGCCTTGGGTGACGGTAAGATCCCGAGAAGGGCTGTTTCATAGTTTGTCGAGGGACTATAACCTAGCTATCTCCACCAGTTTAATGAGGAGAATAGCCTAGGGTATGAGACATCTCAGGGGTTCGAGAATGGGGGAAGCTGTGGTTTAAGAGTGAGTCCTGTGATCTTTAGCTGAGTCACACCTCACAATTGGTGAGCTTAGGTAGTTCAGTCACACGGACGAAGCCCTAATCCATGTTATAACCCACAGTTTCAGTCTGAGAAAATAAGAAGGATATAAGGCTGGTTGATCGTTTTCTAAGTTAATATATGATGTGTCACACATGCTAAGTGGTGGCAAGTTACAAGAGTATGAGTCTTGTCACATATCTGAGAATATGGCGATAATACACCTAGTTATGTGAGTAAAGAAGCTATAGAGTGATAGATGATAAAATGTGATATATGGGGAAATGTTTTATAAACTTGATCTTGTTGTGCATGTAATTGTTTTATAATTGATATATAACTGCATAGGGTAGGTTTAACGTTCGTTACTAAGTAGCTAAACTTACCCCTCTTATTTAATACTTTTCAAGCTCTAGCCTTGGTGTTGAGAGGGAGAAGACTAAAGAGGCGAGGAATTAGTACATTCCTTCTTGCATGCCTCTAGTTTTGATATATTTGTGTAATAGCATATAAATTGCCAATTCTATGATGCATATTACCTTACTTGCACTATTTTGATTGTTGAAAATGTTAGAATTGTATTTTAGGCCCTCAGCCTTTGGGTATTTTTGTCATATGTATGTATATAGGGCCAAAATACTAGTGTAAGTGTAGAAATGAATATTTGAGCATGTTTTGAATGATTTAAGTTAAATGTAATGTTAACTTATCTCCCTTTGTTTTTGTTAAATTGGGGTTGAGGAGTGAATTTTTGTTATAATGATATTTCGATACTTGTGACGTATTGTACTGGTAGTTCTAGGTCCATTGAACATGGACCATGTGTTAGGAAAGGCTTTTGGTACTTGTTGAGGATTTTGGACACTCACTTTGTGTAAAAATGTTAAAAAGTAGTTAAAATATGTTTGGGTGTCCAACTTCCTAGTGTGACTTGTTTTGGAAGTAAAACCTATACCATTAGTTAGTACAAGAAAAGAGCTTTTCGTAGATACCTAGATCACGTCATTCAGACGTCGGACGAAGAATTGGGGTGAGTCAAAAGTTTTTCAATTCTATTGTCAAATTAACAGCAAAACCAGTGGATTTTCATGCAACACGCCACGGCGTGTGGCACAAAGAGCAACACGCTGCGATGCATTGCTTTGTATTTTAAGACATAATTATTTTTCAATTATTTTTAACTTTTTCACTCATCTGAGGTATCCCATACTTTCAAAACTTATTTTTAACTCGATATGAAAGATTTTGCTCGATCTTAACTTGTTTCTATTTAAAAAAACTTGGGATCATTTCTCTTTTAGATTAAATCTTGGTAATCAATTTTTAGAGCTAATCTCTCGATTACCATAAACTTGATTTATTAAATGTATTGAGTGGAGTGAGACGTTACATCACACATGTTCAATCTCTCAACTTAGTCTCCACCTTCATCTTTGATGCACTCTCCTTCTTCTCTGATCTCTCACCCACTAGCCTATGGGTCTCATGAACATAGTCGCCTTCTCCTCCTTTGATCTTGCAGCCAACGACCTTTAGATCTTGCAATGAAGGGGTGGTAGAGTGTGGAGCATGGTTGGAGAAGATGATACTTTGTGCTGCCTTGGTCGCTCGTCAAGAGAAGGTAAAGGTGAGGAGGATTAATTACAATATTTTTTTTATTTCAAAGAATATTATAGTCTTTTCATAACATATGTTGAATTGTAAAACAAAATAAAAATAACTATTCTCTTCAAGTATTATTTTATATCAGACATAATTTTAAAATCTTATTTTTATTATTATTCTCCCTATTAATATTAATAATAATCTTTTTGAATTGAGGTCTACTTAACAATCAGGGCCTTGGGAGTTAGGACACATTTTTCCCATCCAAGTTAAAAATCCGATCGGGTCGAAGCCCGCCCAATAAAAGAGCCGCATGGGAAGTGGGGATTGGGGAACTATGAAAGAGACTCGAGACTCGAGAGATGAGACTCGAGAGAATTTTATCAAGATATATTTTTTTCTTGAAAAAAAAAAAACATAAACAGGGTCGCTTGTGCATTCCCAGCCTCCCACTCCCTGGTCGGCGCGAAGCCTCGAACCCAGTTCATCCGACGGGAACCCGGGAATTAGCAGAGATACAGTTTGAATCAGAAAGCATGTCCACTTATATGTGGGCGCCAATGGCCACTTCCATGCCGACTTCGTCTTCTTCCTCTCAATTGCCCGTAAGGAGAAATTTTAGGACATGTTGCTTCATGAAAGCCAGAAATCAAGCTAAAATTCCTATGCCCCCCATCAACCCTAAAGACCCCTTTCTTTCAAAGCTTGCTTCTGTAGCTGCCACTTCTCCGGAAACGCTGCTTAACCGTCCCGTGAATTCTGAAGTCCCTCCTTATTTGGACATATTCGAGGCCCCCAAGCTCATGGCTACTCCCGCCCAAGTAATATATCTCTCGCTTACTATACAGTTATAAGTTGTAAAATTTGTGGTCAATTCGGTGTTCTGGTAAATGGTTCCGTTCAAAGTTCTCTCCTTTAAAGGGATGGGAATAAATCCCTGAGAATCACATCCTAAAAGGGGATGTGGTGTCAACAGAATTTGGTTAGAGATTAGGATGATTACGTAATACATATGGCGTCCTTTTAGCAGTCTTAATCAATTGAGTTCTATATTGCTGTTGGTTATGCTTGTTCAAGTAACGCTATTGTCTACTTGAAATAGGTGGAGAGATCTGTTTCATACAATGAACACCGTCCTAGAAGGCCTCCACCTGATTTGCCTTCACTGCTTCTTCATGGCAGAATTGTTTATATTGGCATGCCTGTGAGTACCAAATCATGCTTCCGATTCGATCTTCACTCTTTCCGTTTTATCATCTGCCATGACCCTTGTTACTCTTAATTACAAAATATTAACTCTGAGAGTACGTTAATTGAAAATTTCATTCCCTTGCTATCTAAATGAGAAATCTGAGTGGGAAGCTTTAGCTTTTAGTCATTGAAGGGTTCCAAATTATTGCAATACTGGTTATTCATGTACTAAAATGTTATTTGTGAATCAAATGGAACTCATATTTGAGCCTCATATTGATTGGAGGAGGAGATAGTGAAGAAAATATTTTACATCGTAGAGATTTCGTAAACATTAACAAAGTAGACATCCATATATAAATGCTTCCCCCATACTCTTCCATCTGTTGTTTAGCGTATGTTATTTCTCAGCGACTCAGCCACAGTTTCTATGTCTTGCATTTCGGCGCTAATTGATTATGATAGCAGCATTTTACTACTGTAATTTTTCTGACTCGTTATAGCCCTTATGTGCTTGTTAGTTGGTGCCAGCTGTCACAGAACTTTTGTGGCGGAGTGAGTTGATGTACCTTCAGTGGATGGACCCAAAAGAACCTATATATATTTATATTAATTCAACTGGAACTACTCCGATGATGGTGAAATGGTGAAACGGTACGCTTTGCATTTATTTCCAACTCCCAAATGATATGAAATATTCATGTTCTATTGACATGTTGTCCATGCCGTTTAGGTTTCTATAATTTAAGATACTCTATTGAGCTGCCTCCCTTCCCTTCCCATCTGTCTCTAACGTATTTTGGATGTTTGCATTCAGGTAGGAATGGAGACAGAAGGTTTTGCCATTTATGATGCAATGATGCAGTTAAAAAATGAGGTTTGTTTCTTTCCGTTCAATACAAGTTCTGCACTCGTATATTTTGTATATCTGTTTCTTTTTAACTGTTTTTGGAAATAATATAATGAGAAATGGAAGTGGGCTGTTGTAGAAATCTAAAATTGAGGAGGAGGATGCAACTATTTGTGCTAATAATATTATGAAAGCTGTTGATGCCAAATTCTGTTTATGATTTGTGTTATTGGTAGCTTAGTGGCTGTTTCTGGTGCTTACAAGTCAAGCTTGCATTCATTTATTTGATGTAGCATTCGTTTTTATGTATTAGTGGTGCCTTTTGACTCTTCCCCTAATGCTTTAGCACATCAGTTCCCATATCAGATTTTTCTACCTTTGCAGATTCACACAGTGGCAGTTGGAGCAGCAATAGGTCAAGCTTGTCTGCTACTTGCTGCAGGGACCAAGGGTAAACGATTTGATGCCGCATTCCAAGGTATGTTTTGGTTAACCTTACTACTTCAGGACTTTAATTCCACAGAGATGTGAAACTGTTCTATTGATTTCTATTTCAGCCATGATTCAGCAGCCTCGTGTTCCATCATCCGGTTTGATGCCTGCCAGTGATGTTCTTATTCGTGCACAGGAGGTTGGTCAAATTTGTTATTTTCTGCACAGCATTTAACATCGTGTTATATTTCCTATATTAGTGTTATTTTGGTTGTTACCAAGTAATATGTTTCAAATATCCATGGAACTCCTTCTTGCATCATTGAAACCTTTGTTTATTTTGAAATATTTTGCAGGTGATAATAAACAGGGATACTCTTGTCAAACTACTAGCAAAGCACACTGGAAATGTGAGTATCATGTTTAGATTGTCTGTGGATGTCATATTTATTTGTGAAGGGTAAGGCAGAATCTAATGATTTCTTGTTTGACTTGCTCTCTTTTATTAGTCAGTCAGAGAGGAGAGAGTAGCTAACGTGATGAAGAGACCATATTATATGGATTCCTCAAAGGCCAAGGAATTTGGCGTCATTGACAAAGTAAGTGCTATTTAATGGTAACATCTGGTCCTCTTCTTCTGTTTGCTTTCCCAAACATGCATGTGGTTTTCCAAACTAATGTTGGAATGCTATTTTTCCAGATTCTTTGGCGAGGTCAGGAGAAGGTGATGGCAGATGTTGCTCCTCCTGAGGAATGGGACAAGGGTGCTGGTATCAAAGTTGTTGAAGGATTTTAGTTCCTCTCGGCTGGGCATCTGTTTACTGTAAGTGAACTCATCCTTTCAAATATTGACACCTGTTTTTGTTTTTGCTCAGTGAAGAATCAATTTTGCTTATTCCACAGTGGTGCGCCTGTGTTTTCTTTCCTTTTTATTTTGGGTGGGTTTAAGGAGGCACCATATGGATGTTTGGCCATATATATGGTTTTGGCTTTGTGAAACAGGCATTTTGATGTTGGGCCCACACTTTTTTTTTTTGCCATAAAGGAATTTATCTTATGGTAAGTCAATTAGGCTACTAATTTGCAGAAGAGATATTTAAAAAGCCATGATTTTGCATGAGACGACTTAGGAACAGATGTTGAAAAGGGTCTGGATATGTTCAGGGATGGCTCTAGGGGGGCAACCACCCATGCTTTCCACTTCCCTTTGAAAATTATTAAAATTTTCTTTATAAAAATAAGTTAAGGTCTAATTTTATCTTTATATTTATTTTCAAAGAGTGTTGGATATCCTGTACTCTTAAGTGAGTCAATTCTTCCCCTAAGTTTTTTTTTTTTTTTTTTTGAGGAGCAAAAAAGCCCTCTTGTAACTGAGATGCTATCTCCTCCTCCATCTTCTTATGTGGCATCTATGTGGGCCCATGCATAGCAAATCTTTGTCCTGATAAGGTTGCTGTTCAAGCAAATTACGAACCCCTTCAGATCTTTGGTCCAATATCTTGGTAAGCTTGTTTGACCGGGGCCCATCCTCGCCATCAATTTCTAATGGGTGTTTGCCATTTTTAATGTTCAATTTTGGCAGATATTTCATGAAAGACCAATTGTTCTCTGCCAGGCAAGTTCTAGAAAACAACCTCGAAAATACACATGAACAACTGTCCAACATTTGTGCGACAAGAACGAGAAGAGAAGCGGCACAAGTTCTCAAACCCAATCAACCTTCTCCTGTCTTTATTGGAAGAAACAAATTCACAGTAGAGAGAGAGGAGCAATCGGAGCACTGCAAGTCCCCAGAAGCTCGATCAAAAAGAAGAAAGCAATAGACTTATGGATTGGATAAGAATAAAAATTAAAGAACCCAATTGGCAAATTTCAAATTGAACAATATTCAAATCTCTCTTTAACTCACACTATTACATCTATACCCAGAAGAAAACTCCTCTCTGCCCCCGACAACAATAACTAAAGACTTGTAACATTTCATGCAAGCGCCTTGTCGTCGAAGTTCAGGCACAAGGAAGCCGCCTGTGATCTTTGCCTCAGATGCAGCACTGTCCACTCACAAGGAAGGCAGCAGATGGAAAGGAAGCAGATAGAGAAGTGGGGAAAGCTCTTCTTATGGCTTGGTCAGATGAATGACAGAGGATGAAGGGAATGACTGAAGCACTCTTTCTTTGCTGCGATTGACAAGCATGAAAATGGAGGACGACTTGGTCAGATGAGAGAGGATTTGGCTTTCTGACAATTTGCCAGGTCCCACGTGATGACAAATAATCAGAAAATGGAAATTTTAATGGTTAATTAACATAAGAGCATTTTTGCCCCTCTAAAACATCATTTAAGAGTATAGGATGTTTAACGTTCCTCAATAAGTATCGAGATAAAATTAAACTTTAATTTTATAAAAATTGTTAAAACTAAATCTGTGCCCCATGTTTTATGTATTTAAAATTTGCCCTCATATATATCACTCTGGATCCTTCCTTCGATATGCTGATACTTTTACGTCCTCTCCCTCGTGTGATGGATACCTAGGAAGTACTTACTGCTCATGAATGCTGGTGCTGCGCGTTATTTCCTAATTGTTCTGCTTTCTTTCTTTCTTTTCTTGTTCTTTTTTTCTTTTTTTTTTCCCCCTTTTGGTAGCTGAGAATGTTTCTTTTGCAGATATAAATGATGATATGGTTATGGTCCTTGCTGGAAAGATGAACTGAATATGCTGGAAGAATGCTTTCTAGAATGATTTGGACCAAGTTATAAGCAAAGCAGATGAAACAGGCTACAGGATGGCAACGGCAACGCAAAGACACAAGCTTGTGCTGTGTCGGGATCGTGATTCAACTATTTTTCCCATTCCACATACATGAATATATATATATATAGATATATGTATGTATATATATTTATTCGTCAATTAATAGCCATGTTCTAGTAGCAACTTTTTGACTGAATATTATTATTATTATTATTATTTGGGCTGAATCCTCTTTTATTCTAGTTCTTATCATGTCCATTGATTTTGCGCAATCCTTGCCTGTGAGATCATTACGAATCACTCCGATTAACAGGCTTGTTTTTGGTCAGTTAATCATCATTTTGTAATACTAGATGATCGTCTGATTTTTTTTTTTTTTTGAATTCAAAATTCGTGCGCTGCACTCTTCACTTTTGAGAGATTTGGCATTTTAATGAGTTGGTTTCACTATTTAAAAATCTTGTTTTCCACGTGAAGTCGTGAAGGAGAGGCAGGCTTGCCTTGAGATTCTTGGAGAGATTAAAGTTGTCAAGAGTTTATGGAACAAGTCACACGTCTAATTGCTACAGGGTTTAATTGAGATCTATAGACTTGAGATAAGTTTAATGAAGTTGCTCAAGTTACAT